TCTCGCCCCTCCTATGGACGTAGCAGTAAATGAACTGCTGCGAGAAATAGAAGGGGGTGGATGTCACGTGGTGCCGTACGCTGATGATGTTGCCATAGCATTCTCTGGGAAATTTCCACAGACGCTATGCGGGTGCATGAGAAGCACTCTCATGAAACTGTCCCAATGGGAAGACAAATGCGGGCTAGGTGCTAGTCCGTCTAAAACGGAACTAGTACTCTTCACCAGGAAGTACAAGATCCCGATACTGACTCCCCCAAAACTCGGTGGGGAAGCGCTAGTATTTAGCAAGAATGTCAAGTATCTTGGTCTGATCCTCGACAGGAAGCTCGATTGGAAACTGAGCATAGAGGATAGGGTAAAGAAGGTTACTGTGGCCCTCTATACCTGCAGAAAAACCATCGGACTCAAATGGGGAATGACACCGTATATAGTCCGGTGGCTATATACCGCCATCATACGACCAATCCTAATGTACGGAGTGGTTGTATGGCGGCCAGCACTGGACAAGAAAACTTATCTTAGCAAACTCAGCCGTGTCCAACGCATGGCAGAGCTATGCATAACGGGCGGACTACGCACAACCCCAAGCGAAGCCCTCGATACCATGTTGTACCTTCTCCCTGTAGAACTCATGGGGAAAAAGCTGGCAACTCTTTCCGCTCTCAGAATGAGAGAATCCAAACTCTGGAAAGCATCCACGTTTGGACACTCGGGAATCTTGACGAGACTCCCGCAACTATCGGAGGGGACAGATAACTGTATACCGAGTCATCACCTCTCGACGCCCTTCCAGGTATCAATCCCACTCAGGGAGGACTAGAAGAAGGGGCGAACCTGTATCCGCAAATGCGTTCCACATATACACTGATGGCTAGAAAGCTAGACGGCCGTGTGAGTGGAGGTGTCTACTGTAACGAGATCAACATTAGTCATTGTTTCAGACTTCCGGATCACTTTAGTGTTTTCCAAGCGGAGGTTGAAGCAATAAACGAGGCTATTTCGATCGTCTCCAAACTTTCTTTAGACAGTCAGTGTGCGTCTTCTCAGATAGCCAATCAGCTCTCAGAGCACTTGGCTCAATATCGTTGAACTCAACGACTGTTAACATATTCCACATGTCTCTTAATGAGACCTTCCTCACCGACATTTCTGACCTGTCCGAAATCAGACCAGGAATATTGTCCAAATACATCCAAGCCACCGGATGGGACTGCCCTTAACTCCGCAATCAGATTGCTCACCACGGTGTAGGGGAGAAGTGGTACACACCCATGCGGCATCACAACGGTCCTGTAGCATGACCAAGTGAGTTGGGGTGGGGGGGATTTCCTACCGCCTTAACCTAACTTAACGTTTGCCAAATTCAACAACACGATATCTTACGTTTGCAACGAGTTGCCACGACCAATTAATACCCCTATACAAAAAAATTTCGTCTAGCAAAAATAGTCGGATTTTGTACGAAGCGTAAATAAAAAGTTAAATTTTGTCGAGTATTTTAATTTTGCGAAAAGTAAGGCAGGAATTGTTATTGTTTTAAATGTACAATATAGTTTTTTGAACACATTAATTTTCATATGAAAGAAATGGATGACCTATGACCTCATGACCTAATACCAATATTATTAATCTATAAAGCTCACACAAAACCCTCTTAATGATAATGTATCTGACTTTAGTTGGGACCGTCGCTTCTGTGGACGCGACTCTACTTTTATACCCGTAGCTTATGATTTATGTAGAAATTTCAAATATTTTACATTTTTAGCAACATCTTTTATCTACATCTACAATGTCGATTACACATCTAAAATGTGCTCTACACACACAATGTAGATTCTACATCTTATCCGCAAAGGTCGCGCATTGCACAGGGCAGAGTGGTTGCGAGCGAGAAAGAGAATAAGTAGCGTCAGCAGCGCCGGAGGATTTGGGGGAAGCAACTGAAAAATAATTTCTTTATTCTGGCTATAATAATGATCCGATCTGATTCAGATTCGGCAATCTGGTATATATGGTCACTCTCTACGATACTGCGCTTTTAGTTTAATCATATCTTTAAAATTGTGGCTATCACAGATTTTCGTTCTTTGTGAGGCGGAAGAGGGCGGGCGAAATTTAGCAATACACTTGTAGTAGTGTGATATAGCATGAGTCTGGAAAGAAAATTTGTTTTCTCTAGCTCTTCTAGTCTCTGAGAACTAGGCGCTCATTAAGACGGACGGACAGACAGACATAGCTATATCGACTCGGCTATTGATGCTGATCAAGAATATATATACTTTTTGGGGTCGGAAACGATTCCTTCTCTGCGTTGCACACATCCACTTTTACCACAAATCTAATATACCACTTAACTCTTCAAGTACGGGTATAAAAAATAATATTAGATTACAAATAAAAATTAAAATTATTATGTGTGTAGCGAAAAATACCATTAAACTTTTTAAGTTCGGAGGGTTCGTTAACCAATTTTAGATCCACTGTTTTTCCATAGATTTTAATGAGCAATACCTTAAACGACGCCGAATTAATGCACCTATACACAAAAAAAAAAAAACAAAGGATATCGTATTTATTTTTTCGACCTTTCCTGAGTTTTTAAAGTCAAAATTTCGTAAAAATACCATGAAAGCTTAATATTTCCCAAAGGGTAAGCTAAAATTATAAATTGTTCAGGTCTTATTTATAGCTGCATTTCTTAGCTTTTCAGAATGGCAAAGCTCATTACAACCAAATGTGAGATACTTAACTTATGTGAAAAAAAGTGTTACCTCTGAAAAAAGCTTAAAAAAATACCAGACTTCAAAAATTCTTTAAAAAAAAGTTCTGCATTTAGCAGGCTAAAATGGCCGACAAGCGAAAGTGTAGAAAGCTTCACAAAGCTATAGATAATATATTTAGTTTTTATTCTAGGAATTTGGAGGAAGTTTTCATTGAACTGAAACTGTTCCAGAAATCCAGATACAGTGATGTACAACAGATTCATAGTCATTTATTATTAGTCTAGTGGGAAATCAATAAGCAGATGTATTTCCAACCACACAAATAGCTCTTCGGATTTTTTTTAACATTGACAAAGCGCTCTACCGAACGTTCCTCTTCACAATTAGTCGAATCAAAGCTGCTGAAAGAACTACAGTGCGACAAGGGCGACTAGTTGGGTATACTTTGATTTATCTTGATGATTTAATTGAGGAATTTTGCATTGATTGTAATTTTATTTATATGATGACGCTTTGACAATAAAATTCATGAATAGGAAGAATAGCCCCAAATTGATGATTGCCTAGGGCCCCGTTGGGGGTTGATTCGGATCTGGTTATAATAAATTGTTGTTCTCTTTCCGAGTTAGACGTTATGGGTCTAAACTTCAATAGACTAGATTGCTGGCAACGAGTCGCCTGTGTCGAGCATTTTCTGCACAAATATTTGTTATTTTATGCTCATCATCTATTTTTCTATGGTGAATGGTGGATAGGTGAAAACGTGTTTTACATCTTTCAAAAATTACCACCGTTCTCCCGGGACTCGTTTTCGAGATTTTATAAAAAAACCAAGGCAGTCGAACGGGAAAAAATATAAGTGGTTTTCAAGGCAATCATTAATCAAATTATATTTTGCTGATTTAAATGGGTTTTCACTTCAAAGTTAATGAAGCCCATTGGTTAAATTAGTAAAATTTCAATAAATTTAGATAAAATAATCGCAAAAATAATATGGAAACGTGTATGGAAATGTTTATATGCAAACTGACCCGGCCGCAGTATTGTGTATTTCTATTGCTCCAAACGATGTCATTAGGAAGCATGAATTGAATGTGTGATGAGAAAGTCGTTCCATGGTTCTGACGTTTTCTCAATTTCAGAAGTTGCATTTTGCGGATGCCCAACACATACCATCTGACTCATGCTCGAGCCGTTTGGGAGAAGTTCAAACACACCATGACACGAGATTTTTGTTATATATTATAGACGATCAATATATATTTGCGTATATTTTTGCACTCCACTATTCTCTTTCTACGTAATTCAAAATATTCTGGCTGTTCCCATTATGCCCAACCGACCAAGGTGCGCTGCCGAATGACGCGCGGCACGTCATGGAAATATAGCTTTGAAATAGTTATAATTTCGAGAAAGGTATGTTAATATTAGTGATTTAAGAAGAGGAAAGGAATTAGTGGTAGATATTAAATGGTAGAGGGAATAAAATCCGAGCTTAATACCCTTTCATCCAAGGAATAGTTCGATCTACAAGAGCAAAGAAATACAATTTCTAGTGTTTCTAATAGGAATCGTGAAGTTTATGCGGCTCAAGTCAGGGTTATCTACGTCACCCTTGATAAGAAATCACACCAAGTGTGTATCCATATGCCGCTCACTGCGACCGGTGGCTCCACTGGACGACAAAAATCAGCCAGTAGAAATTGTTTTCCTGATTCTGGAGAATAATGGTCCGATCTGATCTAGATTCTGCAACCTGCAATCTATATAATATAATTCTGTATGGTAAGGTGTATGGTAAACTATAAACTCTTCAAATACCTGGTTAATGATCAATATTGCGGAGTATTATGGAACAGCTAACCATCGTAATTCAAAGCAAATCCAGTTTGAGGAACATCCCGAAAATCATTGTGATCCATTGCCAATGTATATTGCTGTTGTTGTTGCTACCTGCAATTCACACATCAATTAATTAGCATAACAAGATACAAATCATAAAAATCATACAGTCTGCAAAGGTCAAATTGACCTGTGACGTGAATGAATACATGAAGAAGAATAAAAGGTTTCGACTGGTTATGGAGCTGGGTAAGAGTGGCAAATTATTCAAGTCGGGGTAATCAACCTTTGCGTTTGGGGATCGGCGATCATGACCGCTGAAACAGAACAATCACCCTGGTTAGGAGGAAGACCAACGTTGAAACTCACCGCGACGAGTACAAAATATAAAGCGTATTTTCCAGAGGCATGTACTCATAACAAGTTGAACAATGGAGCTGCGTTTATTTGTGCTGATTGCTCTGACGGTATTATTTCAAGGACAAAGTCAAGGACAACTCGTGCCGGGGCTTCGTACAGGCCTTGTCCCAGTGCTGGAAAATGGACAGATTCGAGTAGTGCAATATCTCGATATAGCAAGTACTGTCACACCAGAGACTGTGAAGGAACAATTCAGTAGAAGACATTTGACTCTGGCAAAACCACTTAAGACTGGCTCAAGTGCTCAAGCCAATTTGCCCAATTGGTAAATTAAAAAAAGCTTAAAAGCACTTTGTCAGGGAAATGTATAGTTGGATAAAATAAATTTTTGTTCGAAATAAGAGTATTTTTTTTTTTACGAATTTCTTATTTGAAAAAGAGACTTAAAAAGTTGTTTCTTTGTACGCTCGGACTGATGTAAGGGTGCTTCGGGCTATACACACCGGTGGAAGCGCGACTATACTCTCCTCGTGAGGGCGGCTGGTAACAGGTCCTGGCAAGGTCAAGTCTTTGCCATGGATGCTGGCTAATGGTAGTCAGGCGAAGAGAAGAAAACTCTGAGTGAAATGCATGGCCGAGGAAGTGCTCGGTCGATAGTATGCGAACTGTGGATACCTGCATATCCCCTGTTTAAACCAGGCTTTCTGGGGCAAACGGGCTATGCCTCGGGTGACCAACCCCTTCCCGCCTTCTCTTGGGAATAACTATGTCGAAATTAAATATAAATAAAAAACAAACTCTAAGGAGCTCGGTACTCCTTCTAAATAACCGGAGGCAAAAGCCCATGCGACGCCTGGGAAACCAGGTCCTAAAAAGACGGGGAAGAACATTATGACGGTCTACCGTCTTCAGGCTGAAGCCGCGTCTGGTAAGCGCTTTGTGACCGGGGAACCTGTCAAGTCCAGCCGATTGGAAGGTGTCCTGAATGAGGAGTCACTTGAGCTCCTGGAAAATACGGCTGTATTAGTTGATTATGGCTACAGAAACGTGATCATAGCTCCCTACAAATCCGGAGTAATACGCGGAGTAGTATGTATGGTGTCTGATGACATCCCAACCGGCTGCGTGTCGGATGAGAGCGACGCAGCCAGGTCTCAGGCTGATCGATATCGGGGAGGATCTTGAGTCCCCCGAGATTGACGGTTCTCTCCGGTCTCTCCCTTCTCCGGTCTGAGGACTTAAGACTATAAGCTATATATAGCTGACACCATAGATAAAACCCGAACCTTCATTCTGGGAAAAAGAGAGTTGCACTTATTTTTGCTCCCAAATTTCAGTAATGAAGACCCCAAGCAGCGCAGCGAGCCTCGAAAGCCAGGAGTGCTCACGTAGGATCTGCTTGGTTTATATGGGTCACGACCACCCTGACCCCCCTCCACACGCGCATCTCCGGTAGCTTATTGCAGAATGTGAGGCCAATGACATCGACCTAATTGTGGGATGCGACGCCAACGCACACCACTGCCAGTGAGGAAACACTGACACCAATGAACGGGGTGGGTCCCTTTGAACTGGTCACATTGAACTGAGGAAATGATCCCACCTTTATTATTAAAAATCGTTAGAAAGTTCTGGACCTCACACTTGATACAGGAAAACATAGTATCCTGGACGGTCCACAGTGTATCGTATCGAATTGCACCTTTTTTGGGAAAAATTGCGGCGACCGCTCAAATGATGCCCGATTTTGATCATATTTTTTTTTAAAGAGTCATTTTGAATGCTGCTATATGGTCTGCCCGGCTCTATGGTCTTGCCGACTCTCTAAAACTAACCTAAAAAAAAACATAAACTTTCATGAAATTAAAAATTTAATTGTTTAACCCTTTCAGGACAGAATTAAAAAGGGGGGGAATAAAAAAATAATTGAGGTTATATTATTGTTAATATAACCTTAAATAATAACCAAAATAAATTTCAGAGTCCTACTTATCCTGGTTCGTCCTTAGCGAAATGTTGCCTATATGCAACATTGGGCCGGAGTGGTATATTTAATAACTTATTGTTATTGTATTATTGTCATACCAGCGACAAGCAATTAAATTGTGCGTGATCTCAACTTTTAAATCATTAGATCCCGTACCTTCCTTAACGAGGTCCTTTTCAGACTTTAAAACGCAATTTTTATGGTGGTTTGGACGAATAGTTCCGACTGCGAGAATTCCTTTTTCTTTTAAAGCAATCATTTAACTTACTGAAGTGAACCAGTTATCACAAATAACTTAAAGTTTTGCTTTTCGGGAACACGGGAAGCCAAATGAAGAACAATGTCCGAGAACATTCCAAGTCCAAAGGAATCGCAAGTTCCTTCACCAATATAAAGACAGAAATCGTAGATTACACTAGATACGCCATCCCTTAAAAAAAATTTAAAGCCCCATTTATGTGACTTTTTTGGAAGATATTGCTTCAAGATATGTTGACCTGCAGAATAAAGGTGTGGATTTGAAATTTGATAACACTAGTCAACACGATTTTTCCTCAAGGAACAAAACGAGCTTTTTCTTAAAGATTTGGGGCTTAGAAATAGTTTGATGATATATTTTTTTTTTCTATGGCAGAACTTTTTTTTAAAGAATTTTTGAAAACTGGTATTTTTTTTAAAGCTTTTTTCAGAGGTAGCGCTTGTCTTTTTCACATAACTCTAGTATCTTACGTCTGGTTGTAAAGAACTTTGCTATTTTGAAAAGATAATTAAAACAGCTAGAAGTTAAGCTGAAACACTTTGTGATTTCAGCTTACCGTCTGGGAAATATAAAGCATTGAAATGCAAAAATGATGATTTTTGTGCGGTATTTTTTACGAAATTTTGGCTTTAAAAACTCAGGAAAAGTCGAAAAAAAATTAGATCCTGTGTCTAATTCTTCTTCAAAAAAAAGTTGTGCCATAGAAAAAAAACCATAATTCTTTAAACAATTTTAAAGCCCCATATCTATCAGAAAAAGTCGGTTTGGATCCTTGAGGAAAAAAAAAGTTCGATTTTGTCGAGTAGTGTAATTAGATATAACAACATACCTTTAAACGATATTTTGCTCATCAACGCTTTGATACTTCTCTTGCTCAAGTCCGTAGCATAATTCCCTCATTTTTTAGAGAAACGACTATATAAAATAGCTTTTCATAATCAATCGCACCTTTTTAGGTTGTTTAGAGTTTTTTTTAAATTTAAATTTAATTTCCTCAAATCTATTTCATGTCGTTGAATCGGCAATGCAGCTAGTCTGAATTTTGATTCACATGCCATTCGCAACACAGGTTTTTGACTACAGCCAAGTTCATCAAAACGTCAATAAAACGTTTTATTTCGACTACAGTGACCTTAAGCTCTGCTCCACCATTTTGCAACGCATATAAATTGGTTTCAGTACAGATTTTTTAAAGAATTTCGTCAACAAAGTACTTGTAAAAGTATGATATTGGTTCCATGGTCATTGAACCATTGATGGACCTTTTCCATAAATTGTTTGCTTTTTTTTCTATTTGAAAGATTTTTTCTCCATCTCAAATTGTCTTGATTTACTTTTTCCAAAATTTGCTGCATCTTTTCATCACTAAGTCCTCGATCATTATCTTCGCCCTCACTCCTCTTCAGCAATGCATCTTCAATAGGGTTTCCTTTGGCAACAACATCTTGCATTGTGTTTTCTATAAAATTGTCCAATGTCTCAAGTAAGTCGTTATTCTCTTTATTTTCTCCGTAATTTAAAATAGTGAATAGAAATTTTCCTTGACCCTTAAAAAAAGTTGCTAATCAACAATAACAGTACGTTAAGTAATTGTACTTTATTGTCTGTGATAATTTTTTACAATAAACCTACATAATGAACCAGGAAAAAAAAGGAATGATCGAACGCAATAAAAGGGCATGAGTATAGCTGAAATTTAATGAATACTGTGATTTCATGCAGTGCTCTAATATACATACATATGATTCATTTATTTGTAACCACTTGTAAAATGAAAATAGATTCGAATAAAAACAATCTTTGTTTTGAAGAGGGATGGCTGATGAGGATTTTCTTTATAAAAATCATGTTGCGTACAAATTCATTAGCCTTATTTATAATTAGTAGTGGTCCTTAAGACACCGAGTAAACTGTGCCTGTTGTTTCTGTCGCCAGTGCAAGTTTACTTGGGCGAGTTCAACAGCGTGCCGTACAGTGCGGGTGGCTAGCTTCTGGAGTTTTTTGTGGCAGTCGATGAACATTTTCAATGCCCCGTAGTCGTGAGGGCTACTTATGTGTCGAGTTATCTGTAGGAGCAACGCAGCTAGCTCACGGTAATTCGACTCGAAACTGCAACACGATTAAAGATGTTTAAATGTTTAAAGCTTTAATGGCACCGGTCTCTTACGATTTCGTTAGCAACGAAAAATTATTCATAAAATAATCTTTTGCCAAAGGGAATCCAATGTCACTCCGTGCAATGGCTCCGAAGGCTAAAGAAATGTCCTGTTTGCGTATCGACGAATTCTCATCGAAAATGATCTTAAGATATCGACGAATTACGAATTCTATCTGTGTGCATCCCAGCGCCTGAAGTATCAATCGTCGCTCACTGGCCACCGTAGCGTTAGAATAGCGTTGCCATAAAAAGTTCCAGTCAGACTCATCGCCTTGCCGCAGTGCTGCGCAATATACGACCGATCGAAGGTTTTGAGGTACGGGATTTGCCAGATCTGGATCGTTGGAAATAAACCAGCGATGGTAATACTGCACAGCACATTCAACGCAGTCGTAAAGAGCCAACCGACATGCCCATTGATTGATCAATGTCTTGTGAGCAATATGATGGTGTCGGCAGCGACCATTTGCCTCTGTTTCCATTCCACCAAGATAATCGTAAATTGGACTCAGCAAATCATTCATAAAGTGCTGTGGCTAAGGCTACTGCAAATTAAAGGCTTTAACTTAATTGTCCTACATCTAGCTAATTACAAAACTTTAGAATTAGTTCGGGGCTTATTAAAATTATAAAGAATAAAAGATAAAACGAGAAGGAACGTGTGAGTGGCTTTTGGGGACGCGACTCTACTTTTATACCCATACTCAGTCAGTATATAACTTTTTGAGCTTAGGATTTACGTAGCACTCGCGCACTGAACGAGGCAGAGTGTGCGAGCGAGAAAGAGAGTGAATAGTGGATCTCTTGCTGGTCTCTCTGGAGGAGGTGGGGGAAGAAACTGAAAATGAATTTTTTCATTCTGGCTATAATTATGATCCGATCTGAAATGTATGTATGTTCTTGTATGTACGATATGTACATACATATGTACATCGTCTTATATGTACATACATATGTACGATTTTACGAGTGTTATGTAACTGGGAGAGAAATCATTTTTATAGACATGCTGAAAAGTTATTCTAGCTTTGGCACATTTAATTATAGTCAAACCTGCAATCTGAATCCCAATTCTAAAGTATTCATACCTGAAACACGGCAAAGTCCGGAGATTGTTTCATGATCCGGTAAATTGCTGCCAAATGATCTAAAGCCGCGCGCCAAGGCATATACGCATGCTCCTGTTTGATATATCTAAGTAGGTCTAAAGTCAGTTTATAGCATAAATAACCATTCCAAGACAAAGCCAGAGCATCGTCAATTAGCTGGGCACGGTTCATAGTATGAATACGCCGGAAATCACCACCCTGTAATGTTTTAATTATGAGTTTCCAGTTGATGGTGTCATAGTTCACTCGAAAGGGCGCAGTCAGTTGAACGTTAAGGATAAGCCATTGATCCTCTTTAGCACCGAGTGGCGATTGAACCTCGAGAGGTATGTCTTTACCTTGGCTATCGCATTGCAACCATACTCGTGGCTCCGTGGCTGTAAAATTTGCCATGCTCCTGGAAGCATAGCTTATTGGAACAAACCAACATTCCTTGGAAAAAAAATTGTCCTTTTCCATGGTTTTATCTAGGCCGTGCATGAGAAACCTCCTCTGATTGATAGAGATCGTGTTTCTTGAATAGTCGCGGTGCACTGTGATCAGTGGATAGCCAGCTTGCAGCGTCCAAGTGTCCATGACCGTCTGTACGTCCAGATACTTGGGAAAACTACCGAATTTATGTGCAGCATCCGAGAGTGACCGCCATAGATCACTTTGATCTGCGTTGCTGTAGGCATGCCGCTTCAGATAGCAGTTAAGTCCATTGCGGAAGGTCGTGTCGCCAATAAACATGTGCATCATACGGATGATGACCGCACCCTTCCGATAGGTGATGGGGTCAAACTGCTCCGCAAACTGACTAGCTCTGCTCACCGTCTGGGAAACGGCACGTGTACTATAGTACGCATCTGAGTTAAGGACAATCATCATATTCTCCAGCGACTCCTCTGCGTAAGCATGCCACTTACTGCACAGCTTTTGCATGCCCAATGTAGCGACGTAAGTGGCAAAGCCCTCATTGAGCCATAGATCATTCCACCACTTCATTGTTACAAGATTGCCAAACCATTGATGGGCTAGCTCATGGGCAATGATGTTCGCCACACGCTGCTTGTCCACCTCAGAGGAGGCTTCTGGCGCATAGAACAGCGCCGCCTCGCGGTACGTGATGAGACCCCAATTTTCCATTGCTCCAGCGCTAAAGTCCGGCACTGCAAGCTGGTCTACTTTGGGAAGAGGATAGTCTATTTCAAACATACGCTCGTAATGGTCCAATAGGCGTGGACCGATCTCGGCAGCATACTTGCACTGCGCAATGGCCGATGCACGTGCCCAGGTGGTAAACTCAACACTGAAATCGTTTCGCGATGTAAGACCCGCAAAGTCGTTGACACTATAGCAAACCAAATAGGAAGACATGGGCAAAGTTTGCTCAAAAATGGTCCACAGCCAGTTCTTTCGCCCAGACCTGTCATCGTAATCCTGATTGAGTGCCAAGGTGTAAAACTTTTGAACCACTTACATGGGAATCTTCTTGCTGATGGGCATGTTACTCAGAGCAACGTATTTCGTGGGATGCCCCAGAGTAATGTTGAATGTTGCCTTGAACGCCGGCTCATCGAAGCATGGAAAGGCGGTACGCGCATAAGCGGGTTCGAACTGTGTCACAGACAAATATCTATAAACGAAGGGCCTGTAGATTGGAAATCTAATCCTCACCCAAGCTAGTCCTCACCTTGTTTTATTGCTGTTCTGATCCTTGTACGAGCTGGCATAATATCCAGACATTCCTCCCCCAAATGAGGCGAAGAACTGTATATACAGCGCGTAATTTTGTCTCGGTTCCAGTACTTTGCCCAGCACCAGTATATAATAATCATATTTCGAGTTGCGTTCCACAGCTCTTACACCAATCTTTTTCTTATTGCCGTTCTCATCCATATAATACAAGTTCGTTCGATTTGAGGTCATTTGGAGACGCGATCCTGCATGCAAGGTTATATTGCTGGTGGGCTGCAATACACGCAACTCGATTTCCACTTCGCCGGAAAAGGATAGCCGATCTTCGTCTTCCAAGTGTGTTAAAATACGCAAGTTGTAGTGTTGTGGTTGCAAAGTTTGCGGGAGACGGTAGTGATCATAGCTTGCTTGGCCAAATGTCGATATAACTAAGATATACGAAAGAAACAGACTCATTTCAGTTGAAAACATTTACTAAACATATGACATATATGTATATAAATATATATTTTCGAACAATTTCTCATGGCCAGTTCCTCCGTTTCTCACATTCAATATTTCAATCTTTTGACTTGCATAATATTTTAACCCGATGTTTGCAGCGCACAGAAAGAAATATTTCAGTGGAAGCGAGAAGTTTCAGGATAGTTCTACCTTTTATATCTCTGTCTTTCAGTCAAGTGCAGTGGAAAACTTCTATAACTGCAGCCAGTAGACTTGATTTGAACTAGCTGAAGCTACGTCGATTTTACACTCTTTATACTTTGTACACTTTTTATAAAGATTCCAGCCTTCAGTATTAGGTAACTCACGAGCTTTCATGCATGTATGCGGATGATACTATACTCTGTGCCCAGTATAAGGACCTCAATAACTTCCAGACCGGACGTTCCTGTCATGGTGCTGTGCAAATATTCTAAACAATAATGCATCGAATTGAAAATTAATAACATTTAAGCGCTCCCTGTTGGCTTTTTACTACCTCTGTCACCTTCTTATGCTAATAGATGAGTTTTAATAAACATACCTTCTTTGTATGTATGTATAACCTGCTACGAAAGCACGTGATTGTTCCGTTTTTCCGTGTTTGTTAATTTTTATACCCGTACTCATAAAAGAGTTAAGGGGTATATTAGATTTGTTGTAAAAGTGGATGTGTATAACGCAGAGAAGGAAACGTTTCCGACCCCATGAAGTATATATATTCTTGATCAGCATCAATAGCCGAGTCGATATAGCCATGTCTGTCTGTCCGTCTGTCTGTCTGTCCGTCCCGATGAGCGCCTAGATCTCAGAGACTATAAGAGCTAGGGCAACCAAATTTGGTTTCCAGACTCATGTGATATCCCACTGCTACAAGTGTATTTCAAAATTTGCTGACTGAGTACGGGTATAAGTAGAGTCGCGTCCCCAGAAGCGACTCGCACGTTCCTTCTCGTTGTAGAGTAGGGATGGGGTATTTCTCTATTCATTAAAAATACAATTATTACTCAAGTGATGCAGACACTATCCACAAAACCCATGACACCACTACACAGAACACAGACTGACAAGGACATAGTGGCGTATCGCGTGAGAGTCTTAATTGTGAAAGATATCCATCATAAATATGTTCTGTATATACTATGTACATATATGGTATATATATATATTTCGAGACATGTTTTATTTATTTTCAAGTTCTTTCAAACAGCTCGCCCTGTGGGCGCTGTTGGAAGCTGCCGACCTTTTTCGGCAAATCTGACTGTAAGCCCTGCAATATAAGCAGAGCAGTAAGAAGAGTACATGCGTGTCTGCGTGTACGCACTGAGTGCGCGATTTAGATGAGACGACAATAAATAAATTAAGAGCATAAGAATAGGAGATGTATAGAAGAGTTTATAGAGTACTCAAAGATTATCTCTCTAATCGATCCGAGGTATATTAAAGGGTTTCGAAAGCTCTTGTCGTTCAGAATTTTGTGGTCTAGTTTAGTAAATGGTCAGTAAAAAAAAAAGACGAAGTCTTCCATACCATATCATGTTGTTATTATATTGTTAAGAAAAAGAATTTTCCATAAAAAAAAAATTATACGATGACGAAGAAGAGGTTGGAGAATAAGGGAATGTTATTGCAAAACAACAATATAATGGTTTACACGGAAATTGGAATATTTTCCATATACACATACATATGTATTTACATAACTAATAACATCAGCATAATATGATTATGAAGAAACGATATAATACCAATCTAGGCTCAAACTACTCGACCTACCCTCCTTACATCATCGGAGAATTTTCAATGGCGTCTTATTCACAAGCTCATTCTCGGGCTTGTCGACTCCCAAACTCTGTTGGGACAGATCGATTTTACAGCTCCTTCCAGACCAACCCGTACTTTCCGGCCTATCCGTTTACCCTTCTGCAGATCTTACTTCGCCCAGCACGAACCTTTCCGTGTTCTTTGCAATAATTACAATTCCTATTACAATACCATATCCCCCGAAATATCCCTTGATATGATTGTACGTAACGTTTACCACACCTTTCTTTTCCTCCTCTGTTATATTTTTTTATACCCGTACTCAAAAAAGAGTTAAGGGGTATATTGTATTTGTGGTAAAAGTGGATGTGTGCAACGCAGAGAAGGGAACGTTTCCGACCCCGTATAGTATATACATATATTCTTGATCAGCATCAATAGTCGAGTCGATATAGCCATATCCGTATGTCCGTCTGTCCGTCTGTCCGTCTCGATGACCGCCTAGATCTCAGAGACTATAGGAGCTAGGGCAACCAGATTTGGTTTCCAGTCTCATGTGATATCACACTGCTAAAAGTGTATTTCAAAATTGCGACCTTCCGCCACCACAAAGGACGAAAATCTGTGGCAGGCACAATTTTAAAGATACGATAAAACTAAAAACACAGTATCGTAGAGAATGCCTGTATCTACCAGATTGGCGAATCTGAATCAGATCAGATCATAATTATAGCCAATATGAAGAAATTCATTTTCAGTTGCTTCCCCCGCCTCCTACACAAAAAGAGACCCGCTACTCATTGTCTTTCGCGCTTGCACACTTTTTGCCTTATATACGCGAGCGCCCTCTAGCGGAGGAGATGCAGAATCTAAATGGTACATGTAGAATCTACATGTTAGATGTAGAATATACATTGTAGATGTAGATAGATAACAGATGTAGGAAAAAAATTTTACATTTTTTTAATTCTAAATTTCTAAAAAATTATAAATATAATACACTGACTGACTACGGGTATAAGTAGAGTCTCGTCCACAGAAGCGACTCACACGTTCCTTCTCGTTTTCCTTAAGTATGTAAATTACTTACATTCTTCCCGTATGATCTCAGCCGAGGCTTTAGCCGACGGCAATGAAAGATCATAGTACGTTTTTATTATATTTTGTATCTACCGGCTCACTGGCTCGTTTGAGAAATAGAATAAAACTGAATTACAAACATCCAATACAAAAATGATAAGCTTAAAACTGTCCCCCAGCTTGGGCAGCGCTGCCCATGCAGTGGTCTCCAATTCTTCGTGCAAACGCTGTTGATGACCGGCGGATATTTATGCACCATGTTAACGCGATGCCGGCCCTCCACTTCAGCGCGGTATCAGCGTTCTTTCGAACGAGAATTCCTCTAATACTCTGTAGCTGGTACTCCGATAGAAAAAAGTCCTGAAATTTTAATATTTTCACTTAGATTTTAATAATTATGCCATTGATTTTCATCCAAGAGTGGTTGTATTAAAATTGAATATTTTTCACTTAAATTTTAAAATTAATATAGAAATATTTAAATTTAATATATTTCATATTTAAATTTAATATGTTTCATATTTAAATCTAATATGTTTCATATTTATATTGAGTATTCATTTTTAAACTAAATGGTTATTATTTTGCGTACGCAAATTACATTTCAATTCCTCATGGTGTAAATTGGTTAAAGTTTTCAACTAGAAATAATCGCAACATGAGCATTGGTTGTGATTATGCCCCTGCGCTAAGATCATTTTACTGTGTATTCAAGGCGGCAGCAGCTGGAACCAGTTGGGAATTCGAGCGACATAAAAAAATAATATAAACATAGTTAAAATAAATACACAAAATATAGGATTTCATTTAATATGGAATATTTAAAAAAAAAGTTGTTCCTTTTGATTTTAAATCAAAAATTTTGAAATCAAGTCATAATAATATTCAATTTAAATATGAAACATATTAAACTACAAATTAAATATATTATAGTTATTTTGAAGTGTTTTGTATTTAGATTAAATATTGGAAAAGCATTTTTAATACATTTATATTTGAATCAAAATGAATTCTATTAAATTTTACTATGTTTGTATTTAAAAATCGCATTTTAAATTCTAATATGATTGTAGTTATTTTTACTATGCCTTTTTTCTATCAGTGCACTGATAGTTCTACACTGCAGTGTAGGGGGTGTTAACTTGTATATTCCTATTATAGTTCATAGTTAGCAGATAATTGTTAATTAATTGAAATAAATATATATGATTATATAAAATAGTTTGGGGTCTTTTTGACGGCCGATATTATATTTTCTGTGCCTCTTCATCTTTTTTCTCTAACTCACACACAGCGTGAAGTGGGTTGGCGCGCGAGCGAAGCGAGTTGGCAGGGGGCTATCGCCTAGTATGTGAATAAAAAAGTGTTGAACTAAATTTGTTTACAAATTCTTAAAACTAATTTTTATTTTATAACAACCCAATACAAAATTTGTGTCACCGTTTTACACGGCCAATGTAAAAATATTAATATTGAAGATCATGGCAGAGGGGAAAAGCAATTGTTTTATATTTTCCATTAATGGCATGCAGCTCGTAGTGCATGTTTTGTGTGACGCTAACTGTTGCGTTTGATTGAGGAGTTTGCGTCAGGAAATCAACCGGCACATTCATACTATTAAAAGTCCAGTGAGGGGCCAGCGGCAGCCTAGTCACGAGCTCGAAGCACTGTGCCAACTTAGCTGACCACACAGACACCGAATCGAAACTCAAACCTTCCCGATTGTACAGTTTGACTATTTCATTGAAGTTTCGAAAGGTACTCATAGTTATTACAGCTGTCGGCTTGTCGCCGAAATAGTGTTGCGGGAAATCCAGTACCACTACGGGGGAACCAGGCTTTATGTGGCCATACCGCTTTTCCGTGTCCTCTTCCTCGTACTCCTCTATGTGTATGGTTGCAACGTTCATCCGGTCTATTAGCTTGAGCGATTTCAAGTAATTTGGATGTTGGTGTAGGCGTTCATCCATTGGTTTTAGATTAGCACTAATTTTTTGTATCACCTCCTCACGTATCGATTCTTCCACAAGAACGCTGGCGACCAGACCACTCCCAATCGGGTGCATCATATCCTTCACAATAGCTTTAGTTACCTGGTTTATATCTCCAGTTGAAAATAGGATTATAAGCTGCGGAAGCAACCACATCTTATGGCTACCATCTTCAGGATATCTATGTATATGTCGTCTAAGCAAGAAATTATAGACGTCATTTTCCATGCAATGCCCCTGTGTGTTAATATGACGATCGACCTTCTCATGGACAGCCTTGGAATTATTGAAAATATCGAGACCGCTCATTTTCGGTTACTTCAAATTTATATATGTTCTATAAATTATGAAAAGTTTTGACGGTTAAGTAAGCAGCTTCTTAGTTACACATTGAATACCTACTTACAGAGTTTATTTATTTATTTTATTCTCATAGAATAAAAGAATCGCATTTAATAGCCCCTACTGCAAAAATACCGTCATCAAAAGAGAGCTCTCGCAGCGTGGTGCGTGCAAATCCCCAACTCAACTAACAGTCGTGTACTTCTGTGCAAACATTAGAACACAAGCTGGAACGTTTGGTTGCAACGTTCAACCGCTTGCTGGAGCTCTGTGAGGACCTAGTCTAATATAATGAGAAAGAGGGATTTGTGGATCCAAATTTGGATATCGCCGAATATGAGGGAAAGTTTTATAGTGCCCATGCTATTTTCGCTGGAGCCATAAGTTAGCAGAGCAGTCACGACATTTCAAATATATTGCTATCTAGTACAGGTGAACTCCTATTTGAGGGACAAACACAACTTCTAGAGAAGATGCGGGATACAGCGGCATCCGCTGAGCTGTATTTTGAGAAATACGCATTTCTACGTTTTCTGGAAGATACGAGGATTGGTGTCAGTTTAGTGACTTGTTCTTGGGCTCAGTCGACAAGAAGAACAGTCTTTCCCAAAGTCAAAAGTTCCATTTTTTAAAATCCTATTTAGATGTAGAAGCTTTGTCTCTGATTAAACATATTCCTATTACTGATTACTGATAATTACCAGGACGCATTATAGAGGCTATAACAAAAAATCTCTGATTGCTCGGTCGTTCATTCAAAGCATTCTTTCGTTGCCAACTGCAAAAGGTTCAAACATCATCGAGTTGCGTAAATTAGAACCGTAGACGAGAGTATACCACGTATAAGCCCGTTGAAATGCGACAGCCGCGATGTGTTGCCTTTCCATATCTTAAGGCCTGTCTCCAGCACCGCTCAAAATTGCGGCAAGGAATTTGCTAGTTATTCCGTGAGGGTGTGGAACATACCTAAAACAGGGCTGATGATGTGTTTTATAAACAGAGGCAACTGTAAAATTCTGCTAAAATTAAAAAAGGAAAAATTCACTCTGATGATGAAGTGATTGTGTTGGTGGCGGCATATATTGTTGCAAAAAAAAAAAAAATAATTTTCATCTCTCTTTTTGGTTTTGCGGACAGTTTTTGCCTACATCTCGCACCATTCACTTCAGGAAGAATTGTTAAGTATATATTCCTGAGTTCTCTCAGTCCACACACGGTCCGATAGGCAACTATCGATATAAATCTGTGGATTCCGCTCGTGTTGCTGGATACACACTCCAGGAATACGTAAACGAAACATTTCTGTCAGTTTTTTATATATGGAGTTTGACAGGAACTTTTCGATTCCGCAGTGCTGGATACTATGCTTTACTCTCAAAACTAGACCTTGAATGCAAGAAAGCTTGGGGGGCTACTTCCAGTGCATCGTGCAAGGAAAATATGACCATAAATGACCTGTTCGCCTTTCTTTTCGATCGGTTTGATGCGTTTAAGTCTTGTCAAGATCCAACAGTAGTCCATGATACTCCCACTGTGCTGAATAGACGTCGTGCAGTTTTTCATCATGCGGACGTGCCAACTACGTCTGTTCGTAATTGCGTGTATTGTCACGGGACACACAGTCTTTATGCGTGCACTGAATTTAATGCTATGAACGTTGTGGATCGTCGCCCGTTTGCAATGAAGGGTAATTTGTGCTTCAATTGCCTAAGTCGATCTTATCAAGTAAAGAATTATAATTGCCGTCAGTGAAAGTCGAGGCACCACACTCTTGTCCATCCAAAAGAGATCGTCATTACACCGAGTACTGTTGTCAATACATCAGCTGACCCAAACTTACGCTCGTCCACACATTCTGCTGAGGCTGATCTTGCCGTGGTCAGCCATCATACATTTTTGAGAGGATTGTTGGCCACTAGTCAAGCCATATTGCCAACGATTTAAGTCACTATAGTCGACTCATGGGGCAACGAGGCAACCTGTAGGATATTGCTGGATACTGTTTCAACTTTAACGATGGTCGCCGAGTCGTTTATTCAAGTCGGATTATTCGTATACAAGTGGTAGGTCTAGGTGCAAACCCTGCTGGGGTTACTCGTCGCGCCACGCTCACGCTGCTTTCCCGCAAAAGCACAGCATCAGTGGCGGTAACAGGTCTGATTACGAATACTTAAACCTCCCCGATTCCAGCCCAGAGGATCGAGTCAAACACTACCCTAAGTGGTAAACCCACATTTTGTAAACCAGGCGAAATCGTCGTGATTTTGGGAGCTGATCAGAGCTGGACAACGCAAAGAGTTTGGTTTAGCATATCCTATTGCACTTCATACTAATTTTGGTTGGGTCATTACAGACAGCTACCATCTCTTTAGTGATGCTCACACCCACGCACTGGAAAACACGCTCACGAGGATCTGGATACCTTAGTTCGATCGTTCGTACCATTGACGCTAGTCCCGCTGAGCAACACTTCGTGCAAACGCTTACCCACAGAGACCATCGTCCAATATCCGTTCAAGGATTCCGCTCCGCCGATGGGGTCCACATTGTCACAGTTAATTTGAAAATATTTTTTTCTTTAATTTCATTATAAATAATTAAATGAAAATTTTCTCAGTTACATATAACATTTTGAGTAACATCTTCGTATTCAGAGTCAGTATATTTCGCTTAAACTCGAGGTTTTAACTAACAGCCAAATATACACATTTTTTACTGTACAGCAAGTGAAAAAATATTGGTTTATGACATGGACTTGGAATCTATCTGCAAAATTGAGGATTTATAACATTATAGGTCGTCCATCCGAAATTTCTTGCCTGGTACCATTCAAAATCGAAAACGACCGACACAGTTTTAACAATTAAGGAATAGATTTGTACACAAATACGAATAAAAATTGAAGTATCAATGCTCTTCTTGGGTTTTTTTCATTTCGTTCCTAGCGATTTATTTTTTATAGAATATGTATGTATACATCGATTAGTGTTTTTTGTTGATGTGGTTTTAAACATTTAATTTTCATAAATTGCCAGTAATGGCCAATGAAGATTTTAGTTTAGTTTTACGAGCGCCTTTCGTTTTGCTTTTTTAATACAGTATTGAAATAAAAATAACATAGTGTAATTATGGGCAATCCATGATTACAAGGGGCTATGGCTATGATTTAGGATTCTTTTTCTGCAGGCGTTTGAAAGTTTATTAAATTTATATGCTTTTAAAGCTTTTGAAGATACATTCAGTTTTGAGCATTAAATCAATTTAAGCACATTATTAATAGGAGTGGAAGAAAGTAAGGATACGAAACGGAGCCAAATTAACATCTTAAGTACGTATTTTACGAGGTAACACATTATGCATATAGTACATCTATGTATATAAATATTTTTTGCTTGCTTATTAGTATTACGAAAATGCACTACAGCTAGATGTAGCCATTGATTTCTCAAATGTATGCAAAAAGGTCCCAATGAATACCTTTTCAAACATAAACACAAAATAATCCGTCATTACACAATGATTGAGTAAATTCGGATAAAACATAAAGCAGAAACAATAGTATCATATAATAACAATATTTGCGGAAACAAGCTTCTTTTGAATATAGAACTGGACATGTGATGGATAGTTACGGGATAAGCTCATAAATAAAATGTGCCTTGAAATTTTTATTTTAATCGAGCTTAGGCTTATTTGGGCTGCTCGTCTGGTTTTGGAAGAAGAGGGGAGGAAGCAGCGGTCGTATCTCGGTCATCCTGCTCTCCATTTTGAAGGTCTCCTACATCTGAAGCAACTAGACTACTCATTGAGGCATCCTCCGTGGGTTCTGTGTTGCCAATCTTTAGTTCACCTTGATTGTGAACACTAGGACTATTGCTCTTCTCGTCGTGAGATAAATCAATATTCGTTGGGGATGAAGTTAAACTTCGGTTGGGCTTAGACGAACGTCTAGTGCTCTGGTTCGCCGCTAAGTATCGTGGCTTTTCATCTTCACTTATCGAGTGCAACAGACGTTCCACTTCATCGTCAAATGTCTCACTTGAAAATGTTCCGGATTTACGACTTTTATCCAATAATGTGGCCTTTTTGGCAGTAAGATATAGAACCCGTTTGATTGCAATGTATATCACATCTGATATAGCGCGAACAGAGTAATCAGGTACAAAGGATTGTCGAATTTTAGAATCCATATTCAGAGACTGTAAAGAGCCCATTTGCGTCGGTGAATCTAGAGAACATGGAATGTTAATGTTATAATAAATCAACTTAAAACGTTAACCAAAAATTTTGTGTCGAAAAGCAAACTAAACATTGATAACCAAAATCGATGAATTTTAATACATACCAATAACTACATTTTGAACCAATGCTTGAGTGCCAAAATAAGTAAATGGGCCACTTTCGAACATCAGAGCTTCCTTGCCAATGGTGACTTCCACACGGCCCTCCAATATAAGTACAAAAAAGTCGACAGCTTTGCCTTGTGTAAAAATGTACAGACTGGGGTCGTCTTTACTTTTTCCTTTCGCTTTGATATTGTGGAAAACGTCCTGATTTAGTAATCTCCGGAGGATTGGTTCCGAAATTACATCTTTTTTAAACGCATCAACAGCTGGAAGAATTGTTTTGTAGTCGTTTCACAGTCTCAATAGTCCCAGTTTTTTTTTTGTTTACCTGTGCTTAAGTACTGAAACGTGGCCAATGTTAGTTGTGGTGATATCCGCACGGCCTGCACCTCGCGGCGTTCGGCAAATGCTGAAAAATCTGCTTTTTTATAACGATTTCGTTTAACTTTAGTGCGGTTATCAATGAAGACATCCGTCTCATCGACAATTTCCGCCTGGATAAGTTCCTCAATTACATCCTCGAGAGTAACCAAACCAACGGTCTCATAAAAGGGATCCCCGTCTCCCTCATTGTTAACGCGATGCACAAATGCGATATGACCTATTGTGCCTTCCTTGAATTGGTTAAACATAATATCCAAGGTGTAGTCTTCAAATACAAAATGAACCGGATTTTGGTAGAATTCGCACAATGTTTTCAGTGGCGTATTGTCGTCGGTATCAACAAATGCCAAATCCTTAATGTAGAGCAAAGTCACAATATTTTTTCTATCCCCATCGTAGACCGGAATTCGTGAATAGCCCGAATTCATAATTTCTGATACAGTTTCAAAATCAAGTACAGCCTCCAATGAAAGCATAAAAGCATCATCAATATGTGTCATCACGTTTGCAACCGTCTTTTTGCGGAGCTCGAGAGCGCCCGATATGATATTCACTTCATTTTTATCAAGATCGTTGACATCGTTGGTAACCTATACAGTGGATAATCAATTTTGTTTGTAAAAGGTTGTAGAAATCTGTTCCAGGAAACGCGTTCCGTACTTACACGAACAAGTTCTTTTAATCGTTCTCGGTTGTAAACATTGCCAATTTCTTCACCCAATAGCGCATCGAGAAGACGAGAAACAGGGTACGAGAGGGGCGCTGTTATGGCCATTACAGTTTTTGTTATTAATATGGTTTTGGCTCCAATAGCCAAGCCATGTCGTGAACACACAGCCTGTAAAATGAATAAAATATGTTGTTTAATACTTACATATATGCACATACATATGTATGTTCATTACAAAAATTTCGAATAATATACTATACAATACATACACACATATGTATATGTATGTAATTTTTACTATGTTTGTAGTTACTTTTGAGTATTATAGTTATGGTACGGGATATTAAATAAAATTAAAGTAATCGTTAGTTGTTTTCAAAATGATAACGCGCTTTACGACAGATGCAGAGAAAGTCGACATTCCTGCTGAAACTTTCCGGCAAAGAGCCAGTTAAGTGAATTGCGGACCAACAACCGTTTAATGGTCATAAAATTTGTATCTCTTGCAATTGTATCGCAGACTAGCTCCATTTAGACCTAGAATTCTCAAGAGGGTACTTGCCAACCCATAGAAACTCAAGCCGCAGAGACAAAGCGCTAGATTCTTTAAAATGTAAGTCTCAAAACATTTTTCGAACACTCTAACGCGGCTTTAAACATATTTTTCGTTCCACATTACCAAGGATCAAAGGGACCGACCGGTCTCACTGTCAATGACTCGAAATTTCTGAGGGCGCAAAGAGGTGAGTAGCGTTGTCTATTAAAGGCTTAGATGCTTTCGTGTTTAGTGTAAACCCTTTCCTTAAGGACGACGCAGAGCGGCAATCATCTACACTGAATCTCCTGGCAGGTGCTTACGTACTCCTAAATTAGAGAAACATGCCACCTTTATAGCGGGCGCTAGCGTGTGGAAAGCGTGTCCACCAAACCACTATTTAAACAGCAATTGGAAATTCAGGAAAATTAAGCTTATTAAAACGTATGCACTGTTTCCTTTCTTCTTTCCGCATTTCTCATCCATGAAACCACATTGAGCTCATTTATATTAAATAATTATCTACTTCATCAAAAAGGAACTGTCGGTTGTTTAATCCACACAATTACTTCGTGGCAAATCAGCTTTGTATACGATTTTAAAACTAGTATTATCCATTTAAAAACCTACCTGAGGCGTGATTTCACCAAAGAGTACGATGGCCAGTGTGGAAAATATAACAGCAAAAAGTCCAGAAGTTAAACCATCCAGTAGAATGGTAAAGGTTGAGTTAACCAACACATTACCCAAGAGAATACTGCACAACAGATAATTACCTTGATCTCTGACGGGGGCTATTTTTGCAGCATATTTTTTTTCTTTTTCCGTGCCAGTGTTTCGCAGTATCTAAGTAAAACACACATATATAAATATATATAGATAATATAGATTTAGGTAAAAAATCGCGCTTAGCAATCTTAGAGAGCGACAGACCTTTAATTCAGTGCGGTCCATGGCCATCAAGCCCAAATTAAGCCCTGAGAACAAGGCTGAGAAGCATAGACAAGTTACGATGATCATTATTGCCACCCAGTTGGGTAAGAATGGTTCATACGTTTGTATCTTCAGCCATTGGGAATTGCCCTGATGCTCAAGAGGTGTGGTGGTTACAGCCGTGCTGTGCTGAAAGTGCAAATTTACAATTATAATTGTATGGTCTTCAAAGGTTTCAAACCGCAGCCCTGCACTCACATCTTTTGTATCCTCTGCATTTTTAGCACATATGTAATATAAGCTACTGGCCGAAGGAAATTTGACCCTATATGTGGCTGAAAACCCGTCGCTGGAGACTTCTAGGGGAGTAAAGAGGTCAGTGGCCGGCTTCAGACAAGGGCCTCCGTAATCATTCTCCTCATTAGTGAACGTGATAACAGTATTTTTCTGTAAACCATGGCCGAAAATTCGGAATTTTTGGTCTTTCGCAGTCAATACTCTTGGTATGCCATCGTCCGTCTCTGTTGAACCTTCTTCCATTCGTATGCCGAAAATCTGTATTGGGGTGACGGCTTCCCTCCGAATACGTATGCTAAAATAAACAAAATTTAAAAAAAATTAAAAACAAAACATTATAATTTTTATTTTGACGGTAGTTTATTCTTTTCATCTCTTTCTTGGTATAGCCATTACGTCCATTTTGCATTACCATTTTCGTCATACCCATTATGAGAAAATATGTAATGCAAACATGATCTAAACCATGATCTATCTTTTTTGTGCATTAAAAGGTCGACCCGCAGATATAAACATATGTGTATGTTTTTGACGAGCTCACAAAATCGAAATCGGACCACTAGTATTATATTGAATAGTGAACAATAGGAACGATACGTCAAAAAATGAATTCTTGTGAGAACAAATTTTTCAACGAAACCTTTACATTTGGTCAAAGATCTTAAATCTCCAAAATCATTTCAACGGGATCATTTTATACCTGGAATGAAGAAAAACGAGAAGGAACGTGTGAGTCGCTTCGGGGGTCATGACTCTACTTTTATAGC